TAAAAATTTTTTTTATATTCTGAACTTTCGAGTCTACGCTCAGTTGCTGAAATCATAGTAAAAAAAAGATAAATGATTAGAAACAATCGATCAATCATCTCAAATTATGATCTTAATCTTAATCTATAGATCTTAACTGCAGATATGCTATTGATAAGCGAAAAATGCAAAATTTAATAAAATCTGCGACAGCATATGCTAATGTGAAAAATCTTAATTTCTGCGCATATTATGCCGCCGCAAAAAATGGGCCACCCTAATTTGGATTATGAAATTTTTTGATCTGTTGATCCGTTATTTAATCTGATCTTTAAATGATTTTATTGGCTACTTAATTTTTTAATAATGGATCAGATTAAAATGGAATAGAATTGAATAGGTTTTATTTAATTTAATAATAAAATTTGAGCCAATCAAAATTAATCACCTCATTGATAATTAGGAAATGATCGACATAAAAATTGACCAATCATACAAATGTCTGCCATAGACTCCACATTTTTTTTTTTTTGTTTTACGGTATATTTAAAAGTTTAAAAGCTCACTCATTTTGAAGATTATGCAACATTTCCTTTAAAATAATAATTGTAGTACACAATTATATTAGATAATGACGGAGAAAAAGGTATTAATTGCTTTTAGTAAAGTTAAATTAAGTCATTTACTATTTTTTTTTGGTCAGTTCGTTTTTGTAATTTATAACATAAATGGTCATGAGGCAGTATTGGCAGGTTTTGCAGTTTTGTTTTGTTTATTTGATTTTATTTATTTTTGTAGAAAGATAAAGTGCTTCATTCTCTACTTTCTGGTTTAATTGCTGGTGGTGTAGAAGCAACAATTACAGTATGTGATTTAGTAAATCATTTTGATCATTTTTATTCTAATTTTTTTGATAATCAAAAATAACTTAATTCGCGTAGTATCCAACAGAATTTGTGAAAACTCAATTACAATTAGACGGATCAAGTGGAACAAAGGTAAACATAATTGCATTATAATTCGCGTCTTTTCCCGTTAATTTAAATGACCTGTGCTCTTTATTTATACTAGAGATTTAAAGGTCCAATTGATTGTGCATCATACACAATTCGAGATAAAGGTGTCTTAGGTCTATATAAAGGATTATCTGCGTTAGTTATAGGTACAGCGGCAAAAGCTGGTGTCCGTTTCTTAACTTATGATCAACTAAAAACATTATTACAAGATGAGAATGGCAAAGTCTCTGGTCCTAGATCAATGCTTGGTAATATAAGGAATCTTATAAATTTATGTGAATTATAATTTCTCCGCATTATTAATATCATTTTTAATTAGCTGGGCTGGGTGCTGGAATGGTTGAAGCTATCACTGTAGTAACTCCTACAGAAACGATAAAGTAATACATTAAGATATGAATTATATTTATTTTTTTTTAATAAATTTAAAATATTTCCTTTTACATTTTTTCTAACATATCAATATACTTTAATATAGAACTAAAATAATTCATGATCAAACTCGAGCTAAACCACAATATAATGGACTTGTGCATGGTGTGTCTAAAATTATAGCAAATGAAGGTTTAGGAGGAATTTATCGTGGATTATTTCCTGTTATGATGCGTCAAGGAGCAAATCAAGCAGTACGTTTTTCAACTTATTCTACACTTAAACAGGAATTTCAAAAATATTCAGGGCCACCAGGACAACCTTTACCCGCTTTAGTAACGTTTGGTATTGGTTCAATAGCCGGAACAGTAACTGTTTATGCTACTATGCCTTTAGATGTTATTAAAACTAAAATGCAAGGTTTAAAAGCAAAAGAATTATATAGAAATAGTTTTCATTGTGGTTGGACTGTTTTAAAAGAAGAAGGTTTGTTTGCTTTTTGGAAAGGTGCAACTCCTAGATTAAGTAGATTATTGGTAAGAATTAAAAGATTAATGTTTAAATTCTAATTATATTAATTATATTAATTATAAGATAAAAAATTTTATTTTTTTCAATGTAGTTTTCAGGAGGTATTATCTTTACTGTTTATGAACAAATTATGACAGGTTTAAGAAAATTAGATGAATTAAAAACTTAGAATGATCATCTTGAAACTTTTAATTGCGCCCAAGTTCTATACTTTTATAAATAATAATTACTTTTGTTAGTGAATGTCTAGCGGCAATTGTTTTAATATGAATAGATTAAGAATGTGTTGTGAATAAATGATGATAGAAACGAAATGAATAACACAAGATAAAAGAAGAATAGAAGAATTAATACATAGCCAAACCATTAAATATTAAATTAAAAATAAAGGACCGTTATTTTTGGTATTCTCAAGTTACAAGAATGAAAACCAAGAAAAAGAATATTATAACCGCGAATATTTTAATCATTAACCATCTATTGGAAGAAATACTAGCATAATATTTTAATAATTCCTTTTGTGCTCCCTCTACATGAGTTTGTATGTCATCTGTATTGGCATCAATTCTATATAAAATGAAAAAAAGGAAATCGTTAATTAAATATTAGAAATAAAAAAAATATATTTTTTTCAACTATTTATATATTAATTCATTTTCATTTCGCATATACCTTTGAACAGTTTCCCGCTGTTCTGCAACCATTGTTGCCAATTGTTGAAAAATGTTGCCAAGTTCAGCTATTGTTGATTCAATGGACTCGATCGCTGTCGCACGACTTTCAATATAATTATCCTTAAATATAAATCAATTTTTAATAATTTTAATTTTAACTTTTATTGAAAAAATAATAAATTTTACTTGTTGATCCATAAATTGTAATTGTTGTTGAACTTGTCCCGAAGACATATCAAGAGCAAGAAAGTCTGCATTATGTTCATTCCGTCTTTGCGTGTTATATAATGGCGAATCAGCTGCCGGTATATTAGCCTGATGATTTGAAGAAAACATGAATTGTTCTTTTCTATCCTTACTCGCTTTCATATTCTAAATTAATATATTAATAAATTACTTTATGTTTATAGTTAAAACCACAGCATGTTTTAAAGTTGTACCTGAGTTCGAATTTCCAAAACATCCTTAAAACTCATACTCGTACTAGCTAGTTTTGATTGTAACATGACTACAACATTAGAGGAATGTTCGTCGGCCTGTTTATTATTCTTTTTATGATCCCTAACGTATTGTTGGAGTAGGGCTATTTGTTTATTTAATTTTGCAATATCTTGTTTAATTATATAAGTTAATTCCTAATAAAAAATAAGATTTCAAATGAATTAAAAAATTTAATTTGAATTTATTCAATGGAAAATTGAAAGACTCACACTAATTTCGACAGGCCTATCGTCAAAAAGTGTTTTACGTTTAGCCACTGCAATTATGAAAAATTGATTTAGAAAAAAATGAAACATATTACAATTTAAAACAGAAAATTAACTTACATTTTGTCAATTTTTGTAATTTAGCTGCTGTAATGTTAATATCCTTCCCTATCGCCGCCGCCATTCTTGCAAATTCACTCTTATTAACACCAGTACTACCATTTACTAGTTTACCACTATTGTTGCTACCTAACAGTGGCCTTCGATGTTCTAAATTATGCCTTGCTTGAAATCCACCATGACCGCTTGAGGATCTTGAACGGATTGACTCAACTGCAGCATGAAATTCTGACGTTCTATCTTTAACAGACATTCTTAAATTGATGTTTGGCTTTAATTGACTTGTAATCTAGATCCTTTAAAGTTTAGCTAAAGAAAGTTTTTTTTTTGTTTTTTTTTTCTAAGCCCGCAAATGAGTATGACAGTTAGAGTTAGTTTAGGTTTGTTTAAAACCATTTCACGTGATATACTATATTCACATAAAACAATTATCCGACGCCAATATTATACTTTAAACTATATAAACTATATAAATAGTTACGTTACACATTTATTGTGTAACAGCCAATTATGCAAATGTCCGGTATGCTGTCAGGATGATCGATGGATTATCGATCTTACTTAAACTTCACGTGCACAATGTGCACTTGTGTCACATCAAAAAATTTTTGTGCATATAAAAATACTATTAGTCATTAGGTAAAAATAAAATTTTTTTTTTTTTGTAAGCTGGACTTTTTCTATGACGCGAAACTTATAGTCCTGGAGACTTAGACAATTGGATGAATCAGACTTAAGTATGAGAAAAGTTGATAATTTCATTAAAAAAATAATGTTTCTTTTTTATTTAGTATGGCGAACTATTTCTTTTGTAGAAAACACTGAATTTAGTCAAATTGAACAGATAAATTAGAATGAATAGGAATGTGTGTTAAGAAGTGTTTCTAATGTTCTTTCTTTTTGTAGACACTGGACTTCTTGGATAATTGAACTTCACAGTAAGTGTAATTGAATAATTGGTAGATAGGTGTGTAATGGCATTATGAAATAACACTAACTATATTTTATTTATTTTAGGCACTATTTGTAAGTTTCCACTAGTAGGTAATATTATATTAGCCTTGAAATTTATATGCAAACGCTTACTTCTCTCAATTTTCTAGGTGACCTATAAGCTCAAAGATAATGACAAAGAATTGATACAATGTATAAAGAAAATATAGTACAGTTGAAAAATATGGGAATCTTACTTGCTGATAACAATGAAGCTGTGCGTTTCATGCATCACTATATATCATCAAAAGAATAACCAAAAAAGAGTTTACCTTGGCACTTCAGCTCGAAGTTGTCAGCTAAAAAAAGTACTAATTGAGTTGATTATGCAATCAAAGCCTTGAGGAGCATATTTGCATTACAGAAGAAAAGCTATATCAAGTGGTTATGGGTTTTGCTCAGAATTTGATTCAAGAAAAAACGCGTTACAGGTGAATAAAAATATGAGAAAATGAAAGTGAACAAAATATTTGGGGATGATTATGGCTATATCTATGAGGTTAACAATAACTATTTCATTCTTTTTGCCTTAGATGGAATATCCTGTATAAAGTAAAAATCCTCTTAATATTCGTTTTGTCAAATCTGCCTTAAAAGAGAATTCAGAAGGAGAGAAGGAGTTGCGCAAAAATGTTAAGTGGGTGATAGAGGTTATTGTTGGGTCGTTGAAGGATAGGGTAGATATAGAAAAGGAGCTGGCAACGAAAAAGCAACGGGTTCAAGAGTATTTTGAAAAAAAGGAGTAATTGGCTGTAAGACGCTTTGCATATATAATAGTCTGCCATTATTAGCATAGAAAATTCGTCATGTATCACGGGCTCTTTATTATTTTTTGCATGTAATAATAATAAAATTTTCTTGGCGAAAGTGATCAGTGTGAACAATTGTTCATACACAGTCGCTATTCAGATTGTCATCACTATTTCGCAAACATAAAGCAAACATGAATATGATATGGATAATGTATGGGATTATAATAGATGCGGAAATGTGATTTCATGTAGAGGGGAATGAAAGGGTAAAGTCATTGAGTAATCTCGCGGAGGAATAAATGGCTAATAGGATAGAAACCTAGTGATATACCGGGGGAGAACAAAAGTATTACACGGTTTTGATTTAGATATTTTAGTTAATTTATCATATAGGAAGTTTGCTAGGAAAATGGGGTTCTGAGACATTTTTTAAAAAATTGAAATTTTTGATACATATTAATCTATAACT